CTCTATTCTGTAATTTGGCGATTTTATAGGGGGTCTATTCGCAAGAAACCCTACTAAATACAAGCTTATTCTAACTAATAATGATTAATACCTAATGAGATCTAAGATTTCAAGTTCAACATTTTATAAAGTTAAGCTGGAAGTAAAATGAAAAAAACAAATTGGTGAGTAGAATCTTGTAGTTAAATCCATTTATCTTTTGAATCTAGACTCCCGATCTGAGATTCTCAAAACAATCAAAAATTACAATAATCATAACAATAACGGCAAAGCATACTAAGCCGCAACCAAGGTTTTAAATATCAGATATCAGGAAAATATCAGACGGGCAGTATTCATATCAAATTACGGATATGGGGGAAATTTCGGGGATATTGTAGTAAATACCGAAGTGACATATCAGATGATGTCAACGTATACTATAATGTCTTTAATGAAATCTAAGATACAAAAATGTAAATGATATATGTTTAGGATTATAACCAATTGTAGAAACTAACTAAGAGAGAAAAGCCTACTCAAATTTGCTAAAGGACTTCATAAAGTTGGAATTTTTGCTAAAAACATTAAAGAAATTTTGTACAAATATATATTGTTTTGTGACAAACCATATAAAAGAACATATCGGCCATTCTTGGGATATATCACCTAAAAAGAGGAAAGGATATTGAGGCCATATCGTTTTGCGGTAAGCCTTATAAACAGATATACGGGCCAATATATCGACTACATCGGAGATATTTAAAACAATGGCAATATTGGTTTCAAACCACAAATGAAATTATCAAGATGACCAGCAAATTGAAATGCTCAGTTAATTTAATTTAATTTTCTTTAGGACATAAAGGTAAGAAGATATCGTCAAAGATGAGATGTTCTCCAAACTTGGGTAACAGGATATGACCATGCCGGTGAGATTTTCAAACTAAACTTGTCTTATTCTATGTTCAATAAGCCCAAGCTGCTGAAAATCCTGATACCATACCAACAAGGACAAAGCACAACTTACACAAGCTTGGATAACATGATCGAGATGAATGCACAGGGAAAGAAAAGGATCCAATCAGAAATGATAACTGCACATATAATTTAACTAATTTACTTCTATAGGGTCACAAAAGTAATATATACAGCCAGATATATAGATGCTCTCCAAATTTAGAAACACCGAATTGGCTATACTGAACTGGTGAAACTAAGGATTCAAGATGCTTCAAATTCGTACCACAACAATGGTGATGTGTGTTCACATGGACATATGTTCTCATGTACAAGGACACGGATATTTCAAATTGTGACCACATGCAAGCACACAAAAACAAGTCTTTGTGTAGATAAAATGATGTGAACAATTTTCTATAGGGTTAAGAGGCCACATACCATAGTAATTTAGCTAGAAGTTTATTTAAAAAAGAATTACATATCAACATTTCTTATTGTAGGATAAAAGAAATTCACAAATAACAATTTCAAGTGAAATCTTCCAAGGACATGACATGTGAGATAAAACATGCACACGCACATACACACGCAAATATAGCACGGAAGTTAGGGTAAAACATGCACAGAAACATGCATATAAGTGTTCTACATGTTGACGCACATAATATATAGGGAAGCAGATAGGACCTCATTGGATGCAGCAGCAATAGGCATTGATACGGCATTTTCATCCCCAAGAGCAAGGGCCAGCCTCATATCCTTCTGTTGATGCTTGAGAGGAAAGGCAGGGGGATAACTGCCCTTGATCATTGCTGGACCCTTTAATCGAAACATTGGATTTGCAATTGCGCCAAGGTCCTGCCATAATGATCCCAGTTGTTCTCAGAGATTTTAGTCTTTTCAAAAGGAAAAATGATTACATATCGTAATTTAAAAACTGATTTTGTTATCCAATCTAGTTTCGAATTCGCTTCTACACCCAAAATTCCCATCTTTAATTATTTTGATACCAATATTATAATACAGCCCACTAAAATAGATTTTAAACGAAAATTACCTGTTTATGGCTCAAACATGATATCACTAAGATGACATATGCTATTTGGAATAAGAGTTGTTAGCTGTGCTTAAAATATGATTTTCATATTAGAACAGCTGAATATATAGTCAAAAGGCTACACCTAAAGTTACTATAGATGCAATTTTAAAACTAAAAAACAAATTGATTTCAAAATTAGGATACAGAAAGATTTTTCCCTTTCGCAAATTCATGTTAGTTTCTTACCATTACATCAAGGAGTGTTTGCTGGCTCAACCCACTTTTGTCTGCCAAGGTGAGCCCTTCAGATAGCGCATTCATCATGCTACGTAAACATAACCAGAACAGTAGGAAGAAAAGGTTAGCAAAATGATTGGACGGTAGAGCCAGCTAAATACTAAAGTCACGGTGGTAAGTTCCAGCGATTAATATATTTTAGCAAAAAAGAATGGCTTAAAAGGTAGAAAAGTATTTTATGCAGCAAACCAAAATATTTGGATAAAGACTCCGTTACTGTAGCAGTATTTTTGTTATTTATTACGCAATCAACATTGAAGCTGATAAGTAAGATTTTCCCAATGCAGAAACCAAGAGTCTAAGAAACACAGTAAAGCATCCTTGGGACATTCAAAAGAAAAGCCATCTTGCATTGCCAACTGACAAGGTATTAAACATTCGAAAACAACATGCTGAAAACCTTCATGAGATTTCTGCAAAAATAAAAATAAATCTGCAGCAAGTATTACCCAGCAGAAGCCCATCTTTTGTAATTGGCTACTGCCTACTTGCCACATTAGTTGTTAAGTCGGTATTATTAGCGAGTGATCATTGACATCATCAATCACTTGTTAAACACCTTGCTGGAACCATACCTACAATTCTCATGCATTTTTTGTTCAAATTCTATGTTCAAGATATTTATTCAATTCCCGTTGTAATTAAAAACTAACCTTAACTGCAAAGGAACCAGTATAACACTGCATAAGTAATATATTTTAACATAAAAAGTTAGTTATATAGCATACTTAATAGAAAGTTGAAGAATCAAAGTCTATTTCCTCTTGCCAAGTCAGGAAATTTTAATGGCTTTGCACATAAATAATCATTGTACGCTATAATATAATTGATATATAGGTTTTTGGATGCATCGACATGTCTATAAGCATGTATATCATGCACACTCTCTCTATTATTCACATAGATTCACATATCATGTTGCCCTTTCATCATGACTCTGTCTACTACTATTTAAGGATATCCATTCATTGTATCTGTGTTCGCAGTGTGCCTGTGACTATGCTTCTCACATTTTCCCTAATGCATAAGATTGTCATTGATATATTTCATGCTCCATTTTAATACTCATATGCGAAAATGTTACCTTCCCATAACCATGTTGACAACAAGCTTCATCCTGGCACCATTTCCAACTTCCCCAAGAAAGAAAGACTTCTTTCCTAGTACATCAAAGGCAGGAATAACCTCATCATATATTGCCTGGAATCACAATACACATCAGATCAAAAAAACACGAATTGGAATAGGAGATTAGATGTCGAGACATAAAAGGAACAGATAAATGTTACTCCATGTTGTGATGTAGGTAGCTCAAGGAAATATAATAAATGTCTATGATTGTCTAGAAACTAGTAGGATAGAGCATGCATGGAGTATTACTTTAAGATAAAGAAATACATCGCCTAGCTTTCAGAATAGATTTGGCTAGGTACAAACGGCAAATTTGGAAAACTAAACATAGTACAAGTTCCAGCAATGTCAAACAAGCAAATTAATTAGTAAAGTAACAAAGAAAGCACAAGCTTATGCACAGAAGACGGTGCCTGAAAGTTGAAGGCTGAAAGTTAAAACATGGATTTTGTAACTCAGAAGTAGATATATGAATGCAAACTTTTGAAATTACAAAGTAGAGAGACAAGATAACTATTATAGCAAATTAATAATTAAAAATAGAAACTTCAAAATTGATGATTTTTTAATATGGTTCTATGCACAAAAGCAAATAAAGAGAATAATGTTAGTTCACAAGTAATCATCATATTTACATTCAAAATATGTAGTAAAAAGAGTTTGTTAGAAGACTGAAGATCTGTATTGAGTTACCTTCTCACCAGCAGCAAGTATAATCAGCTGGCCGTCTTCAGCAGGCTTTTTGCTACCAGAAACTGGAGCTTCAAGAAAACGTCCACCTTTCTTTGTGATCGCCTGGGAGAAGTCAAGCATTTCAAAAGTTCATTAAGCTTGGTATTTACCATGTATAATTGAAATAGATAATAATAACTGATGGCATCTTTTCATAAACCAAGAGTTGCAACTTGCAAGTGAAACTGTCATTTAACGAGTGTCTCATAACAGATGAACAGAACATTATATAGAGCACGACACAATCATGAAAATTTACATTTGATTGCATCTATGCTTAAAAAGCACAATTTCTGAGTAAATTTGAACCTAAAAATAAATTTAGCAACATCGTATTATGTTTATTTTCTTTAATTAAACTAGTTTGTTCGTTGTATCTAACAGAAACCCGTAACATCTAAATAAGAAATAGTTATGACTAACTAGGAATAACTTCTTATAAGCATAAAGTTGCAAGAAGCCTAAAAACAGATCAGAACATGTGGAATTTCAGATCGGTCATTGTTAAGAGTATCTGGCACCCATTCGGTTTGAGTGTCAGTTTGGTGCAGGAAAGGCAAGAAATGGAATTTAGTCCCGCATAGGATAGGCAGATGGATATATGGTTAAATATGAGGACTCTTTGATTCAAATAGAGTTAATTGTTAACTAGATGTCTGTCTAAATCTTGATCTCCAATCCTTCAATGATTTTCAGGTCACGATTTACATAGTTTTCTGTTCCCAAATATCAAGGAAAATGAGTGTAGAGTTACTCTCCATGCTAGCAATTATCTCAATATCAGTCACAAATCAAGTAACTTAAATCACATAAACAAATCAATGCACCAATTCAACCGATTATATTGTTTATTTTGGCTAATGATGGCTAGCTCATGTTTTGACCAATGGTGTAGCATGTGGTGTCATTGTGTTCATGACTCTACACATGATATCAGTAGTTATTTACCGTAACAATTTTAATATGCAACAACTTTTAGTAGACTGCAATCTTTTCTAACTATTTCTATCCGTTTACCCATCATATAGAATGAACTAGTTACAGAACTAGATTTCTTCCGCAGCTAGTTACATAAGTCTGAAGGACTTCTGATTTTTCATTTTTTTTAAAATTTATTTTCAACAAAATTTAAATTTTTTGCTTCTCCAAGACCCAATATGATTAAAAGGACATGCAAAATGCGAAGAAAAAACTTTTCATATTTTAAAAATAAAAATAAAAGTTAGGGAATTTAATTCTGCACGAACTTTTCATCCTGCAATATGAGCAGATGGGAACCTTCATTAACAAATCTGAATCGAACAGATTTCTTCAACAACATAGAAATGGTGACAACAAGGAAGAAGGGTCAGATTTTTCATACCTCGCTTATTTTAGAAGAAGTATCCGCATCAACTGTGGACATGTCGATATAGCCTTTTCCCTCACATATTTGATCGAGCACCCCATCTTTGTCAAAAACAACCTGGATAAATTCAGCACCCAAGGTTAAAGATCTAAACTTCAAACCAATAAACTAATAAGCAGATAGTAATCCCTACTGACCGAGAGAGCAGCTTTAGGGTCAGATAGCATTGCTACAGTATACTTGCACTTCTTGACTACAGCCGCAGGAGTTTCTCCAACCGAAGCACCTTCCTCGACAAGCTCATCGCACTGTCAGCATAAGTATGAAAAATTGTAATACCAAATTTAAGTTCTTGAATACGTTAAGCTAAAATATCAACACGTCGAAAAAGAAGGGAAAAGAAAATGAAACATAATGCAGACGAGATGAATCACTACAATAGAACCAGAACAACTACTAGTTGTATAATTTGGATGAACAAATCAATGAATACACTTCACAGTAAATCATACTCTCTTTAAAAGCACGAGTTCAGGAAAATCATTCAGTAGACAAAAATACCCTTGAAATTCAAATACTAATCCATTAAATAAGAGTAAGTTGATAAATTAATGAATTTTTAATGGATATACATAGTATAAAGATAGGGATATAGTTTAAATTGAAATATAAACCTGAATGAAATTATTAAATGTCAACTTTACAAATGTATACAAGATGAATGACGTATATGTAAAAACCAAACAAATTAACAAGACAAATAATGTCTGCCCCAAAGGTTGAACCTAGGAACAACGCAGACCTATAAATGTACATAATATGGATGAGATATTTACAAACTCCACCAAACAAATTAAAGTGACATGAGTCAATCTCAAAATTATAAAAAAGAAAAATTAAAACAAATGGCTGCGATCTGAGGACACAACATGACGATCTCTCACCGACTAAACTTCAAGTAGTTCACAGTACTACATAATTAGTTTCAAAGTTTAATTATACTATTATTATTTAAATAGAACTATATTTATAATTGTTATTCTCTCACATGCAACATCACATGCCAATATATATAAACCAATAAATTACAATAATTTTTATAACACTTTCATCTCCTTCTATAGATATGTGCCTTTGTTATTTTCTTCTTATTAGATTAGATTAATTTAAAGCAATTAATTATATTGATTATTTAATTTTTTTTCATATTAAGAAATAACAATAATTTTCATAACACTTTGATCTATTTTCTTCTTATTAGATTAGATTATGTTATTTTAAAACAATTAATTATATCATATGTTTGATCTTTTTTTATATCAGAATTTGTAATAATTTTCATAACACTTTCATCTCCTTGAACAAGTATGTGCCTTTGTTATTTTCTTCTTATTAGATTAGATTGTTTAAAAATTATGAATTATAAAATTGTAATAATTTTTACATCATTTTCATCTATTTTCTTCTTATTAGATTAGATCAGATTATTTTAAAGCAATTAATTATATTATATATTTAATCCTTTTTTAGATCACAAAGTTTAATTATACTATTATTATTTAAATAGATACTATTTGTATAAAAGTCAAAGAGAATCTCACACGTATTTTAGATCTCAATGCTAATTGTAATACTTACATGTTAGTATTGGTTAAAATAAATTTCATGCATGGGCTTAACTTATATGATCCTACTTTAACCGGATTAGATAGTTTATATTTTTACCTAAACTCTTCCACAAAGCCAAAAGAGAACAGTAATGCTATAGCTATATATATCCACAGGACTACATATATCTTGAAAATGAACGAAGAAAACCACACAAACAAAAACCATATTAATTACCCCACACGCTCACTGTTTTTAAAACCACCATTCTCCATTTTTATCTATAATATATCAATATACCCAAATTAAGCTGTTGGAGTTTCCCCCTCACTAACTACATCATTGATCAATCCTCTTTTTTTCTTTGTATTTAAATTGTATAACATTCATTGCGATGATGACTCACCTGGGTCTTGTGCCTGCCCTAAACGTCCAATAAAAAATAATATACTAGACCTTGTAGTTAGTTAATAATGAGATCATGTCATTATAAATAAATTAAGTAAAGATTAATAATTCTTAAGAATGTATTGTGTTCTTCTAACTTTCACTGCAAACTTGTTAGTTATTTATTTCTGACCCCAAGAGATTTTCAAAATTAATCTTGAGGTTTGCTTGTATTTAAAAAGTTCTGTTAGAGGACTTATATAGTCTGTTTAATAGTTTAAGATTGTCAACACATTTTTATCTCTGATGAATATCAATTATGAGTAATAATATAATTTGATTGATCCAAGTATATCCTAATATATTTCTGGACTCTTGTCTTGTCTTTTGCTCTTTATTGTATACCAACCTGATATCATAATTGATATAGATGATGAAGACATTACTGTAAAATTACCTAAGAAAAAGATAAAGGTGGAGAATGATTGATTTCGACTCAATTAAATATAAAAAAAGAAGGAACAAAAGATAATATTTTTTAAATAGTTTATAGTAGAACTTAATTTTTTGAGTAAAATTAGGAATCTTTAGAAGAGATTTTGATGTAAAATTTTAATATGCTTATGTGAATGATTTTGTCATATAAAATTACACTAGAGTCACCAATAATATTTAGTATTTATTTTTTTATTTTAAGTCTATCAATAATTAAGATGTCTTGCAGTCTTGTGAAAAGTATGTATTCTGTGCTGAGCTTATACAAACCATCTTAATATTAAGTATTTGGTTATATTTTATTAACACATCAACAATACATTATTGAATTTTTTTAAAACTTAACATTACATTTAATGACTAAGATAAACAAATTGGAGATCGATGATTTGATCCGATAAACAAATATGTTACATGAAGTTTGATATATACAAATTAAAAATAATAATATTGTGTGTGCAAGCATATAAAAGTATATTAATCCCAGTTTTACACGCAAATCTATTTCATAAAATTTAAAAAAATATTTAAATAAAATCTATAGCAAATGTAATAATCCATGTTTAAATATTAACTCAAGATGAAACCGACTTATTATATAGCAATAAAATAAATAATAAATAAATAATTTTAATATTTAACTACGTGCATTGCACGTGCATAAGAACTAGTAACTTTAAATGGTCAAGCTTGTTTATTCACATATAACCACATGTTTTGTTTCTTAATCCTATATCTTAATCAAATATCTAATTTTTCAACACCATCGTTGATTTACTTCAAATAAAGACATTGCCACTCAAAAATGTCACTACCATTCTGCTCTGATACCATCATTATTTCAAATGCACACAATGTCAGATTATAAAATTATAAGCCTCAACCCTCACCATAATTTTGAAGTTTTTTTTTGTAGTGGCAAGCAAGGTTTTAAATATCGGTTATCGGGGGTTTATCGGACGGTCAAAATCCTTATCGGATAGCGGAAATCGGGGATATATCGGGGATAAGTAATATTTATCGGAGTGATATATTGGATGATGTGTATATATAATATAATAATTAAAAAATATAATCTAATCATGCTTAATGAAATATAAATATACCAAAATGTAAATCATCATGTTTAAAATCACTAACAAATTGTAGAAAGCGAAACTTGCATCATAGCCTTGAAAAAAATATAATGTTAGTCAAAATGGGCCGATAATCCCGATAATCCCGATAAAAAAGTCTTACTTATCGGCCGATAAGTGCCGATAACGCCGATAAATCGCCGATAAACCCATAAAAACGATAACCGATTAAAAATCTAATTTATCCTAGCGGAGAGCTCCCAAATCCGATAACTCGGCCGATAATATCGATTATCGGCCGATATTTAAAACAGTGGTGGCAAGGACTTGAAGATGATATCAAAGCAACCTAGATACAAATCTTGCTAGCCACGATTTTCTAAGGCCATGTTTGGCAACTTTAGATTATAAACCCCTTAGCTTATAATCTACAAATACCTTATAATTCAAGTTGATATAATCCACAATGTTTGGTAAACTTAATGGATTATAATCCAATTCTAATAGTAGAATGTTTGGCAAATGAGTGGCTTGTAATCCATCTTTATTGTCAAAATGAACAAAAAAAGATTGGAGATGAAGAATAGAGAGCTTTTGAATTTTCTTAAATGAAGGGGTATAGGTATTTTTTACTTGGTCAAACTATGTGGCTTATAAGCCACCAAAAAATAAGCCGGGTCACCCCAGCTTATATTTTTTGGGCTTATAAGCCAAAAAAAGATGTTTTGCCAAACATGTCTTAGTGTCTTATAAGCCACTTTAACTAATTCCAATACATGCTCTCAGCATTATTTTTTAAATGTGTGAGTCGAGGTTGAGAGCTTTTACCATGAAAAGGGCCCGCAACCTTCGGAGTCATGCTAGAATATAAATTATAACTCTCAATCATCACCCCAACTTCGGAGTCTTGGTGTAGTGGCAGGGACTTTAAGACACAATACTTAACTAGAATCAGTCCAGTAAACTAAAAACATATGCTGCCATTAAGTTTGATTCCAATTAAACAAAGTATCATCTTAATTAGGTAGATCACAAAATAAATCATGACCCAACTTGTATAAGACACTAATGCAACATCTGAACCCACAACCCTAACCAACACAAAAGCATCCATTAGCTCAATCAAGAACCCAACTTTATTGCACCAAAACCATTTAAAAAGATCAAAGATTATGAAAACATTGGATCAAACAAATGGGTCATCAAAGTACCTTGGAGAGGGTCCTGTTCCAAACTGTGACCATGAATCCATTGCGCAGGAGATTGATGGCCATTGCCTTGCCCATGATTCCAAGCCCCAAGAACCCAACTTCCATTTTTCTCCCTTTTTCTCCCCTTTCTTTTTCCTTGATTGGGTTGATCAGTGAAACTCTCCTCACCTCTCTTCGGAAGTGAGTGCTAACAAAAATACGCAGGCTAATCTCTTTCTTTTTCTTTCAATTTTTTGAGCTTAAAGATATAATTTTTGGAATTAAAATGTGGTCATCTGAGAGAGTATTTTAAGGTGATGCTTGAATCCAGCCGATGCCTGCCACGTCACACAACGTGGTTTTCCAAAAATCTCTCCTCATGTTGATTCCTGTTGGGTGTATGTAAGTTGTGGTCCCTGATCAGCACTAATAGTTCTCATCCACGTGTCACTTTATATTTGTTCTTTTTCTTAGGGTCCGTTTGGTTGGTTTCCTAAAAATCAAGAAAAGGAAATCGGTACAAGGAAATCAATAAAATAATATTTTTACCCATTTCCATCCCTAAAACTCACCCACAACATCTAATAAAATATTATTTTTATCTTCCAACTCATCTCATTTCATCTCCTTTCTTACATTTAAAAATAAACCAAACACAAGAAATGTGTCACATCATCCAACTCATCACAACTCATCTTATCCCATTTTTAAAAATCACACACATCATCCAATAATATTGTGACAACTCATCTCATCTCATTAAACATTCCTTTCCATCCATTTCCTAAAAAAAAAATAAGAAATTGGTTTCCTTAAGTACGTGTCACATCATCCAATAATATACCTCCAACTCATCTCATCTCATCTATTTTCCTATTTTTAAAAACGAACCAAACACAAACAACCTCAAAACATCATCCAATAATATACCTCCAATTCATTTCCTTATTTTTTTAACCAACCAAACAACCTCAAAACAATTTTTTTTTAAAATCACTCACATCATCCAATAATAAGTTGACAACTCATCTCATCTTATCTCCTATTCTACAATTTCTTTCTTTTTTAAACCAACCAAACAACCTCAAAACAAATATTATAGGAAATAGGTTTCCTATTCTTTGATTTCCCAAAAAAAATGGCCAAACGAACAGCCCTTTAGGGTAAATTTCAAGAAATAATGGTAAATTTTCATGGATTTTATCATAAATTGTTCTTATTTTAATTTGTTAACTTGTCCTTTTTCTCATATACAAGGATGAAGATAGATCTAAAAGAAGATATACACATGACCATTTGAATTTAGGAGGTAACTTATCAAATTTTTATGACGTGTGAACCGTATGATTACTTACGCTCTGTTTTGGATTAAGGGGAATTGGGATGAGGAAAGATAAGGTAGTGTTAGTCTAAAGTGTAGACTCAAAGTTGAGACGAGAGCTGGAATCAAAACGACGAAGAAAACGACCTGACAGATCCACGGTCGACCGCGAACATGCACAAGGCTGAGAAGAGACTGGGTCTGATCGCGGTCGACCGTCGCGGTCGACCGCTCAACTCTCTGGAATCTGAGGAGCTTCTGTCGTCTGATCGCGGTCGACCACCGCGGTCGACCGCTCAACTCTCTGGAATTTGCGCGGTCGACCGCCACGGTCGACCGTGACGCAGTCAAACAGTTTCCTAAACTGTTTTGGATTCTGTTTCTACCAAGACTCTATATATACCCCAAACGTTTTTAGGGTTTGTAAGACACGAAAAAGAGAGTTTTTTGACTGAAAAGAGAGAGAGAATTTTAGAGAGATTAAACACTAGTTTGAGAGCTTGTATTTCTTCTTCAACTAATAAAAGAATTGTGTGGTGTGGCTCCCGAGGACGTAGGCACGTTGCCGAACCTCGTTAAATCTGTGTGTTCGTCTCCTTTACTATTTTTGTAAGGTTAGATCTTTATTTGTGGTATTTTCCTACTTTCCTACTTTCAACACAAGGTCCGGAAGGGCAAGGATCCGATTGATTGCTTCGGATTCTCCAACAACTGGTATCAGAGCTTCGTTCAGCAATTTGTATGAAAGCCATGGCAGAGGAAAACAAATCAAAGATCGAGAAGTTCGACGGATCAGATTTCACCTACTGAAAGTCATAGATGGAGGACTATCTGTACCAGAAGGACTTGTATCGCCTGTTGATGGGCAAGAAAAAGGGACAGAAGAAGGAGGAGTCAGATGGTGATTAGGAGATACTAGATAGGAAGGCTCTAAGGCAAATTCGGTTGTCGCTCGCCAAATCAGTAGCCCACAGTATCTTGAAGGAGAAGACAACGGTGAGACTTATGGAAGTGCTCGCGAAGATGTATGAGCAACCGTCGATAGCAAACAAGGTGCATCTCGTCAAGTCTCTTTTCAACCTCAAGATGACAGAAGGACGATCCTTCACGATGCATCTCAGCGAGTTCAACACGATTATTGATCAGCTTATCTCAGTAGACATCACGTTTGATGAAGAAGTACAGGCCCTATTGTTACCATCGCAGTTGCCGAATAGTTGGGCAGGTTGTATGACGACAATCAGCAATTCGGAGGGAAAGGAGAAGTTGAAGTTGAGTGAGGTGGTTAGCATGATTCTATCCGAGGAGGTTAGAAGAAAATCGTCCGAATCAGAAGGTTCAGTGAGGTGGTTAGCATGATTCTATCCGAGGAGGTTAGAAGAAAATCGTCCGAATCAGAAGGTTCAGGTTCAACTCTAAGTTTTGAGCAGAGAGTCCGAGGAGGTTAGAAGAAAATCGTCCGAATCAGAAGGTTCAGGTTCAACTCTAAGTTTTGAGCAGAGAGACAGAATCCAGAAAAAAGGAAACCAGAACAAGAATCAGTCGATACAGTAAAGAAGAGGTCGAACTCGAAGGTTAGGCCTATCAAAGGAAAGTGTTGGAACTGCGGTCAGGAAGGCCATATGTCTTCAGTCTGCAAAAGTTCAAAGAAGAATGCGGGTCAGCAGGAGGTTCATATCGTGCAGGATGCCTTGATTCTTGCAATGGACAGCGATTCGGATTCTTGGGTCATCAATTCAGGAGCCTCTTTCCACGCCACTGCTAACAAGAAGCTATTTCAGAATTATGTAGCAGTGGACTTTAGAAAAGTATATCTAGGGAATAATGAGCTCTGTAATATTGTTGGAAAGGGTGAAGTGTGTTGACCCTATAGTTTTGATGATGATTTGTCAAACAATTTATCGCTAATATATTCTCTAGTTTTTGTGTTTATGTTTCTCTTTTCAGGTATTTCAACACACGTCAATCAAACGTTAAAGATTCAAGTTCATATGTGTGGATTTACCTAGGTATATGTTTGGTTTACTTACATATATTGTATGATTATATCTAAGCTCAATATATGTACACTTAACACGATTTTTGACGTTTTCTATCATATAAATGATTTTTTATCAAACGTTGTTACAATAACTTTTATCTCATATTTACAGCTCTTTCATACTTCATTATATACATATAATACATACACAATATGAATATACATATTTACAAGCTTCATGTCAATTTTCATGTTCACGAAAAACAGGTTTTTTGAACACTTTTTCAAAAACAGGGAGTTTTCACAAACAAAAATTGATTTTCCAAAAATTTCTTTTCAAACATGTTTATTTCATCATTTAGAAACTTTCCCCAAAGTTTTACTATTTTTGGATTTGATTTGATATTTTTAATGAATTTTCAAAACAGCCCCAAAACCTGTTAATATGCCATATATCAGTTTTCGGTCGCCGGTGCGGTCGACCGACAGTTGTTTTTTTCCTGTCGACCGGACCGGTCGACCGCCGAACTGTCAGAACTTTACAACGGCTAGTTTTTTACAGCTGTTTTGAAACTAGTTTTTTGGTCTTTACTTATGTTTTTGCTGTTGTATTAGGGTGCTATAAATACCCCATTGCTGCTCTTCTTCTATTGTGCTAAGAAATCCAAGTTTGGTGTTTAACAAAATATTAATTGTGTTTAAGAGCTGGTTAATAGTTGATTTCATCAATCAGTTTTCAAGAGAAGTTTTTCTACAACAAGAAGTGGCATTCAAATCCATATAGCTTATTATTTCACTTTCATTTGATTAGCTATATTCATTAAGTTATTTATTGAGTTTGATTCACTATTATCACACACACTTATTGAGCTTTATATTCTCATATTATATTGTGGGTTGTGGTGTGGGATTTAGTGAGTGTGAGCTTCATTGTGTTCTCACTTGTTATTTGAGAACAAATCATTGTATTTAACTTTTATTTGTGAGAATCATTTGTAATACACTTGTACACCTAGAGAAGTGTGAGGCAAGAGATGGGGTCGAATCCAATAGGAGTGGCGTCGGTTGACGAACCTAGGGAGAGGTTGAAATCGAGCACTTGAAGAGGAGGACACGGGCTAGGTTCCTACACTTAGTGTGTAAAGTGTGATTGCATAGTGTTTGTGTAGTGTGAGAGTTTTCGGTGATCTTGTAAACCGAGTGTGTAGAAGTTCCGGCTTCCAAACCGGATTGTGATAGTGGATATCTCCTCGAGGTGAGGAGCGGGGACGTAGGTCGTGGTGACCGAACCTCGTAAACATATCGTGTGTTTGTGTTTTGCTTAGCGTACATTCTATTCATCATTATTGTTCATATCCATATCATATTTCTTCTTGCAAGATCAAATTGATCAACATAAATTTAATTAGCATTTAATTGGGATTAGATTAGCATAAGACCCTAATCACCCCCCCCCTCTAAGATCTAACAATTGGTATCAGAGCTTGGTGCTCTTTGATTTGAGGACTAACCGCCTTGAGTTAAAGATCCAAGTTATTGTACTTGTGCTAATCTAATTTTAATTACATTGTGCTTCTTGCATTTCATCTTTATGGATATGTATGATTCATCTTGCTTAGGATATGCTATTAATATTGCTCATCGTTTGGATATTTTTCCCTATGCTCAATGGCGAGTTAGATTCAAACTTTTCGTTCAATCTAAACAATTTGATTTATGGAAAATTATTGAGGATGCCTATGCTGTTCCCATTTTGGAAAAATCCAAATGGTGTGAAAATGATAAAAGATTGTTTAACATGAATTAACTTTTGTTAGAATATTTGATTAAAGCTTTTCACTCATCGTTTTCTAACAAATTTGCTAACTTTGATAGTGCTCACGCTTTATGGAAACTTATTAAAGCACATGAAGAAAAATTGGAGGCTATTCAACAAGCGTTGGAAAATCCCGCTTTGAGTTCTAAGGAAGCCTCATCTCC